AAACACTTCAGTTGATAGTGTTTGTAAAACTTTATAATATGAGTGACACTGAACGTTAATAGATCCACCTGGAAACTGACAACTGTTCTTACTTCATCAGTATTAGTGGTAAACAAGGGAGATTATTTTTGTATATATGAACAATAAGTAAAGTAAGCAAGATGATGTTAAGTAGATAATTTATTCTTCCCAAATAATGTTTAGTGACTTCGCAACAAACAACGCAAAGATTCTCTCAGGTGATCTCATCTTCTTGTCACCTATCTGAATGCGTTATTGATGAAGCACTACCTCAGATACAGGTGAATGAACTTCAAGTTGATTCGACATAAAACTCATTTTGGAGTAGATTACTGACTGTAGGTCTCAGATTGAACCAATCATTTGAGAGTTTTGGGGCATTCAGTGATTTTTCAAATTGGTGTTCCCCATGGAGTGACATCATTTGGAGAAACACTGGAAACCTGGTAGCACTGAACAGCTGATTCGTCCGTCCTAGTACGCGACTCCTCATCAGTGCGCATGTATGACCACAGCCTACACGTCCCGTTGTCAGAACGTTACCATTGAGCCACTATGTCGGAATCCAATGACGCACACTTAATAACGTAGCGCAATCATCATCCAGTGTTATCGCTCAATATTTGTCCTCACGGACACCAGTTTTGCCCCAATGGTCACGACTTCTCATTAGTACTTCGGAAATCACCTCTCAAAGCTAGTCACCAATGAGTGGTAGATCACTTTAATTTGAACCACTGGATTTCAACCCAGTTACTGAAGTGTATCGTGCTGGCTACGGAGCGTGAAGGCCCACAATGAGGTCAAGGTTGTACATTACTGAGGAGTCGCATACTACAGTGGAACAGCTATCCAGTGTTCCTCCAACGGATGTAATATCCATGATGAATACCAACGTGTTTTACAAAATTGCATGTATGTATGTATGTATTCGTATGCGCTGGTTACAGTTATATGTAAATCAATTAACAGTTCAATTATTGAACATTTGGTCAACTATGGACATAAAGCTACACCAGAATCCTCCTTCAATGTCATTCATCGTGTCAGATGGAATAGTTGAAAAGGAGTACGCCTTCGACAGTTGTGCACAGTGGAGGCACTCGCAATTCATCAATTCAAGCCTCATCTCTGTGTGCAAAACAAGCATGTTCAATCTCTCATCTTACCATGGTCTTAACACTTTCATTTTTCTCCATTTCATTATAATTAATTAGTTCACTGTTATTATCACCTTCAATATGACCCTTGTCTCATTCTTCACCTTCTTTATATCATCAAATTTGTTACAAAGCCTAGTTGATATTGTCTCATAGGATTTTACAAAGGAACTTCACTATTACAGTGTGAATGAAAATTTAGGCATGAAAAAGTTTTTATAAACACAACAATTTTCATGGGAAAGACATATATAACACATAAAAGTGAAATACGTCAGCATGATAATGACTTCCTAGTTTCTTAACATCTTAGATATGAAAATCACCTGGATAACGTACAACATTTTTAAAGTAATCGAAAACGAGACAAGAACTGTGAAATATAATAGCAACCATCTTGAGACTATTAAAGTGAGCATACAGCTTGAGCATTTTAGTAGAAAAAAGAATCCTATATGAGATATGTTTACTTGAAATGAGCCATTTGTGAACACGCATAATCATCTGACGCCACACGCCAAGTAATTCACAATAGGAATCTCAATGAAGACTTTGAAGAGATGACTGGAGTAAAACAAGGCTGTCTACTATCACCCATGATCTTCCTGATTGTGGTCGACTGGATCATGCAGCAGACAACAGTGAGGAGCAAGAAGAGGGAAATACGCTGGCTGGACCGGGGAAAAGAACCTAGAAGATTTGGATTTCGCCTTTCATAATTTATATGTAACGTCACACAAACTTGAAGATCTACAGTCGAAAACCAACAAGTTGACAGAAGATGCGAGGCAAGGCAGCGAAGATGGGACTTCAAGTGAATGTAGAGAAGACAGAGGTGATGATGAAGATACCAAACCAACAACAACAAACACCAATCACTATCAACGGGAGAAACCTAAAGCAAGTTGTCTCTTTCACCTATCTAGGCAGCACCGTTTCAACTGCGCGATGCACAGACGAAGACGTCAAAGCCACAATCGGAAAGACAGCAAAACAGATGTTCATTGGCCTGAAACCAATGTGGAGATCTTCTGCACTGCACGCAACATAAAGCATGAACATGCTCCGGATTTTCAACACCAACCCAGTCAAGTCAGTGCTTCCGTATGCCTCAGCTACTTGGCGTATTACGAAAGGGATTTCCAACAAACTAGAGATATTCATCAACAGCTGCCTACACTGGTTCGATACTAAAGCTCAGATGACCAGAATGGGAAGAATAAGCAACAAGGAACTCTAGCTGGCCTGAAAGCAAACCAACAAAACAAGAACCCATCGTCCAACAAATATGCAGAAGAGTGTTGAGATAGATTGGGCATACACTGAGAAGACCGACTAGCGACATCACGCGTCAGGCCAGGCCATCGAGTGGAACCCAGATGAGAAATGACGAGTTGGGCGTCCAAGGCGAGAGTGACATGAAGGAGATGGTGTGGGGAAGAAGTGAGAGCTTGTGGGCAGTCGTGGAGCCAGGTTCAAAAGACTGCAGAGAGCAGAGTGCGCTGTAGACGTGTTACTGAAGCCCTTTGTTTCACTAGGAACCCAAGCGACAAATAATAATATGTTAATAATCAACTGAACATTTCAATCTACTTCAGAATAATTATGTATACATATAACTGTATGACCGAAATATATATTGAGCAGTGGATTAGTAAAGTAGTATGTGTTAGCCTTTATATTGTATGCTTTCTCCTACATAGAAGAAGATATAAACTTATAAATTTATTTGTCCAATAGGAAATGATATCATTCGTTCATTGTTAGCAGATAAATGTTACTTGATACGATGATTATTCTCAATATGAAGAAGATAACTTTTGGAATTCGGATCCCATGAGAATGCGTTACATGTATAATTCGGTTACATAATTGAATACGAATTTTACTATTTACAATTATATGAAGACGTCGAACTGAGTTTTGTAATTTAACAAACACTGATAACTTACATTTTGTCGCATAGTACAAATGCTCATACAAATACTACCAGTTGTTAGTTTGTAAAAGATCCTGTTTAAACAGTTGAAACTAATACTGTCATCTTGGTGAAGTAGTATTGTGAAGGGAGAAAATACATTCGATGGGTGATAACGAAGAGCGACTGACTCTGAAACGACAAAGTCTTCGCGATTTGAAAAGCCTTTGTTGTATGTAATTTCAACTCCATTGTCAAGTTACATGCTACTGTTTCGAAATACTAAGTTTTGTAAATGTCCTGACACTTTAACCGACATCCTGAATCCCATGTGAACTTCCTTCTTATCTCTTATCTTGAAGACTAGTGATACATAAGAATACACTTCATGGTTCTCGGCCGTGAATGTGATAAATAGGCATGCCCTTCGTCTGGTTTTTATGATTACAGGCAAGTTAAGAACAGTTGCTGAAGTCACCTACTCACATGCAATGATTGTTCACTCATTTATGATATAGACAATCCTGGATTTTTCCATTATGTAATAAAAAAAATAGTTCGTTGGTAATAAAGTAATTCAGTCGGCATAAGCCATCCAGTGGTAAATGTTATTCAGTGTATATGAGTCGCTTACATGTCAGTCTGTTGACGGCAATCGGCAGGAATCCTATGATTCTTGATTGATTTCTTGATTGTTGGCACATATCGGAAAAGTGTATCTGCAACTTCGAGAGAACGGATGTTCCCAAAGATATACATTCCAGCTTCACTCAGTACTGAAGTCACAAGCAATACTATTGAGCTATTCTCGTTGCGATTCTCCGCCGTAGGACTGCATTGAATATGTTGACCTACTACTTAAGAGCCACCGATTTGATTTAATCCGGTTTTGGGTACTGACCTTACGATATCAATCATTTTACACTGTTGCCCATAGGATAGAAGGCTAACCGTCCTCAATCACTTGAATGGATTATATCCAACCAGCTAACACCCATGAAATTAGTTGCTTTTCAGTGATTAAAATGCTATTGTAAGTATTATTATTATTATTATAAATTGTCGCTTGGGTTCCTAGAGGAACACAGAGCTTCAGTAACACGTCTCCATTCTACTCTCCAGTTCTCTACAATCTTTTGGACCTGGCTCCATCACTGTCTACAAGTTCTCGTTTCTTCCCCACATGATCTCCTTCATGTCACCCTCGCCATGGACGCCCAACTCGTCATTTCCTATCTTTATTCCACTCGAGTGCCTGGTGCGTGATGTCCTCGAACGGTCTCTTTTACTGCATGCCCAATCCGATCAAAATATATGTGAATAATATTATTATCCAGTAAACACGTCTTCCGAAAATGCGAGGATTCAAATGTATTCTATTCCAGAGAAAATTAACCAGAAATACACGCTAAGCGGAATATTTGACTTTCTCATCTACCAACGATTTTCACCTTGTCAAACTCATTGCCTTCCTCTATTTCTTTGATCATCACGCAACTACTTTGCATTCTTCATTCCGGTCGTCTTTATCACTAGGTTAATGATGTATTTATACCACTTTGTTTTATAATAGACTACTGTTAGATGTTGATGATATAGTACAGCTTTAGAAGAAGGATATCATCGTAAGAGAAAATTTTCTTCACTAAATTATCTCTTCTGTATGACTCAATGAGCATGTTTCGTAGTCTGAAGCTTCTAGATATTTTCAGAGAATATTTGAGTTTAGCCCCTCAACACAGGATTACTGTCAGTTCGGCAGTACAACAAATCGTCTCATTCAAATTATTGTTACACTCAAAATTATCTACACCCCATTTTACAGATCGACAACAACCACATGCACATATTGACCGCACACTGTATTTCACTCAATTACTCAACACCATTTCCGATAACAATTAGATAGGAATAGTCGCAAAATTCATGAGAAATCCAGCATACGAGAAGCATGTTAACATCCAATGAAACAAAATTGCCAGTATATATTCTTGTATTTCGAAGGTGAAATGTCGAGTTCCTTGAAGCATTTGACTCCCAAATAATCTTAGCTGGAAACAAATAGAATTATTGATAAAATATTGTTTTCCACAGTTACAAGTTAAATATAGCTGGAGTGTCAACACAAACTTATCAGCATTGGTCTATACGAGTGTAAAGTGAACTGATTCTCATGATCTTGTTTGTGTTAACACATTCACTAATGTTCGTCATATATTTTCGCTGTTATCATTAATACGAATGTACACTTTCCGAAGATAATTGTTGATAAGCAGAAAAGGAGATCAGTTTAAGATGTATCTGGTATGTGTTTGATTCATGTGAATTGTAATCAATCAGTTTAACTGTTTGATACAGACAAATCAGGTATAAGAAGGTTTGACAAGGCTGAATGAATGAATGAATGAATGAATGAATGAAGCTGGATGGTATTGATAAATGGTTGTGTAATGTGAAGTTGTAATGCAACTCGATGTCGATTATTTCTACATCAGACTGACTGAAATATTCTTTCAGTGAGAAGAGTGTCCAACTCACCATTTCAGTCAATGTGAAATAAGAATCGTATTACTTACTCCCCTCGACTATGTGAATATTTTAGTTGTTCAGAGAGAGGATGGGTGAAAGTGGTGATTGAAACAGTAACTAAAATAATCATCTCACGAGTTGGAGATGATATGTCTGTTGTGTATTACTCATTAGATATTGAGGAGAAGAATATGTGAGGTACTTCAGCTGACATGAATGATCAGCTTGAAGCGAAATTTGGAAATGATGTGATGTGGAGCGATGAGATGCATGTGGCGTGACATATAGTACCGAAATAAATGTGTTGTGAATTCATTTGCATAAATTTAGTTGAAGTGTATAATTGGACCAAATGATTGGTGTGTAACATGTGAAGAAACTCCCTTCAACATTACATTATCACAACTACATGAAGCTGTAGTCGGCAGGTCAGATGAGAAGCAGATTTCAAAGTGTAGACTTGTGAAGATGACATGAATGAGCAAAGTGACTGCTTCCTATGAATAACATTGTGAAGCATCGGGGAATCTGGCTTTCTAAATTCCATGTGAAACGTGTGTTGAGATAACAAAATCACCTCACAAAACACACATATACATCCTGAAACCTCAATTGTTGTTGCATTTCATTTAATGGAAGACGGATTATTTAACAGTTTACTCTCTCTCCTATCTCTATCTCTCAGTGTGTGTCTTCATACTTGTGACAAATCCTTCAATGGATAATTTTCGCATCGAAGTCATGCGAAGTGAGTTTTCGAGTATGGTTCAACGTGTAGAATTTTGTGGCCGATATACGTGAAAATTTAGATGAAATTGTTGAAGTAGAGTAAACGTCAAGTGTATGACATTTCAGTGATTATAACAGCTAACTAAAATATAAGGAGGCTTCAGTGGTAATTATTTTAATCGATCTCAGAAACACATGCTCTCAGTCAGTATGAGTAGACGTGGGATCATAAGAGCATCATTCTTGCAAAATTGCAGTTGTTAGTCGACACTCGCACTGATGCAGGAGGTGAGATGAGAAGTGATAGTAAAAAGACTTATCCTATACCTGACCATGTATTCCTCTTTTTTCGATCAAGGAGCATTCTAGTGCACGTCTTGTCATATATCATCCAGAGCAGAACAGTCCACATAGTGTTCAGAGGAGGAAAGTAAATACATGAAAACCCTAGTGTCAGAAATCAGGTAGAGAGACATACAACCAATAGAAACAATCAGTTACATACGACTTCATCAGTGCAAGCTATTTAACCACTCACGGAGAATCGCTGATGACTTGTTGGATATGGAGGGTAGTAGAGATACTGCTGTCTGCAAAGACAATGTAAGATTCACGATCGGACCACCCAACTGAGGGAAGTCAATACCACGAATATCATCCACCTGAGCTACAAGTATTCTGCATCATTTCACATACCAGTATATACTGTGACATTGCCCACATTTCCATTCACAAATGAATCGGTAGTGGAATTCTCTGATGCATCGAATCAGTCTATTTGAAGTCATTACGCTTTCCACTCCTAAGCATCGGTTCACTCACTACCGATGAATCTAACTGTGAAAGGTGTGTTGTCATGCAGACAATGAAATGATGACCACACACTTATTGCACACTTATTTGGTGTCTGTATGCTTGACTAAATTGCCTCAAGTGAAATAACTTGATTTCACCATGTATTCTCTAAAGTGTGTTTCATATTCAATCCATCTGTTTCAACGTGTCACATGTATCAGCACATAATGTAGAGTGAGAGTGAACATGGGAGGGTAGTAATGAAGTGTGACATGTTCCAGCTAGTGACAAATTTCATCAAGTAGTACTTCAGTCATGTGGTCACTGAGACGTGTGATTAGTATAGAGGGAGGGATGTGGTTGGGTGTGTGTGAGATTTCACTTTCAACAAAGTCACTCACACTGTGCTGTGTGATGAACATGAACACACTGTATTCTCTGTCAATCATCAAATAATTATCTGTTGACATTACAAGACAATGGGGAGTGTGAATGAGTGAGTTGATATCACAGTGATATTTGGTGTCAAATGTTTGTCTGAGGAACTGGATATTATTAGAAAGCATCTTATGATTTCTTATATTCATATATCTGAGTGAGAAGTTTGCCTAGTCATCTGTGTTGAGATTTGCATGGAGATGGGAAAGTGTCTTGAAATATTAATATAATCAGGTGGAGAGCAGAGTAATTGCATGAAGGGATTCACACAATATTTCATTGTCATATGGTGATAGCACAAAGTTTTATGTGTTGAGGAATGTTGTATCACATCCACACAGTTTCATTCATTGTTGACAATCAAAGCATGCTAACAGACTACCGTGAATAATATCACTCCACTACTTGTATGCTTTTGCATCATGAAATGAATATGAGGAAATTGACAGCGAGACATCCATTCGGTGTTATGCGAATGAGTAGAACGTTTGCTGTCATAAATTGAGGCAGCCCAACAGATTACCAGACTCAAGCTGATGTTCGCAAAGTGAAGAGAATGAGGAATCACGTGTTCAGAGATGAGATTTTGATGCATTGTGCTGGTGAATAGCATTCGCTACATGTAGCTGAATACACATCAGTTGTTTTATAGTTTATGAACATTCGTGTTGTTGATCGTTGGGTGTACACATTTAAATCCTTCTGGATTTTAAAATCTAGGTAGGCTAAGCTATTGGAAACTGCTGCTTGTGTTAGATAATCAAAGCTGTAATGATGAGGAACTTACCGCGAATACAACGAATTGAGTAGAAATGCCAATTATATTTTGAGCAGCCTGTAGACAACAAAGAACAATTGAATGCAAATTATTTTATTGACTGATGAAACTTTTGACGTGACAATATCTTCTTTTTTCAAAGGTAGACAGTGGTGGAATTCAGTCAGCTTGATGTAATATTTTCTATACAAACAACAACATCGAGAATGTACTCATTGCGCGAAACGTCGTTACGGTTGCTCGATGCTCTGGCATTTGCAAACTGTCGGTGTGTAGTTCGAATCTCAGTGGGAACAACAATTACTGGAGGTGGATTCATCCAGCTCACGATTCCAGAATATGACGAGGTGTGCTTCCCCGAATCCACTGCTAGCCACTATACATTATTATAATTAGAATAAATTACCGGCAGTCGAGGCATCCACCTACTATCACGTATTCCAGTAGAGATTGACCAACTCGGTCCAATCAACGATGAAATGATACGAGAAACAACATTCATATCTCATTCTGTTTTATCAATTGTTGTTGTTTTTAAGTATAACAGGATGGAAATGTCAGTTAACTTGTCAGTCAATACCGTAGTGACGTTTCACAGTTTATGTGTAAATAGTCAGATATATTGTAACTAGAATCCTCGGAAAACAAAAGCGAATTTTCGTTTTACCTGATATAAATATTTGATAGGAAACTGATGGATTGAACTCACAGGAATGTAATGAGCACTGATAGCAATAACACTTTGTTGATATGAAACCATGTGCACCGTTGTGAAGTTACCGGTTGTCAGTTTCATTGGATTACTCAGTGAAGAATTGACATGAAATATGCAGATGATCAGTTTCTTCATAAAATAAAAAGGCTAATAGGTACTTGTTTATGCTGGCCTTACAATCTCAGCATGCTCACTGTCAGAACATCCTATTCTCTATCTTACACAAATATAGTGTCCTAATGTATATTTGGGATGAAGAGTAATCATGAGCTTTGAACATGAACAATGTAACTAAACTTATTCCTCACCGGAATCGGTGAGGCGAAGTTACGCCATTTGGTGGAAGCCTTCGGAAAGCCTATCGGTCGGTATGTCTACTCTTCTCTCGATGAAAGCGTAAGCAAGATTGGGGACTTGGAATGCCTGAACAATGTTTGAAACTGGCTGTCAAGGCTGACCAGATTGCCAAAGAGATGAGAAGATATAACATAGAAGTGCTTGGAATCTGCAAGTGCAGATGGAATGAAAGTGTACTCTCTCAACTGTAAACTGGATAGTCAATAATCTACTCCAGGATTGACACCCACACAACAACCACCAGCATACTGCGTTTTGGAGGGGCCATCATGATGTCTGCAAGACCTCCGAAGGTTCGCATGCACTGGGAACAAATCTCCTTTTGTATCAGGATCATGATAACAAGATTCAACTCAAAAGGAAGGAAATTAACAATCATACAATGCTACACTACGCACCTACAGATAATACAGACCAAGAGAAGAAGGAGAAATTCTGAAGATAACTGCGATCGGTAATAGACAAGACCCCAACGTACATAGCGATATCGAAATTCTAACAGGTGACATGGATGCCAAACTGGGAGCGGACAAAATAGGATGAGAACCAATCATGGGTCGAGAAGAGTTCGGTGAAGTGAACGAGGATGTACATCTGTTTGCAGACTTGTGGTCATGTATTGATTTGCTGACTGGAGACAAGGCAGTGTGTACAGGCGCAAGGATGTTCACAAGGTGACATGGATTTCATCAGATGGACACACTGAAATC